CGTTGTGATACATACACGGACCCCAACGCATCACAAATGTTCGATCATGACTGCAGAAATGCACTCTGCACCACAGCCACTAGGAGAAAAAGGACCATACAACACGTGTTCAAACGTGTACAAAGTTTACGGCTTTGGTTTATTTTCGTGTTTTTAGCGTGCTGAACACTGATGGTATGCATACATATGTGTTCGCAAAAAGTGTTATTTGGTCCTTTTCTGCTAGTGTGCACGTTGGCCTGGGCAGCCTTGGTTTTTACGCTGTAGAAACTGATTGTATTTACGTTTTTACACGTAAAAATGCATAAAAATACGTGAATACAACGTAAAAACTGCCTGGTGTACATAAAGACAGTACATAAAGATTTACAGAGTCCGGAGAGTGGCATCCAGACGCCTTAGAAGAGGCAGAGTTTTTGTTAAACGTCATCATCACCCTTGCCAAGGACGAGGAGAACATTGTGTTGCGGGTGCTGGAGATGGTGGAGGACTGATCATTGTACGCAACTCTCATCGTGTAGCCTACGTGTGCCGGGGAGCCATAAAAACGTAAAAATAACCTCAAAAATAGGATCTTTTGCAAATTTACGTTTTTACGTAGTAAAACGTAAAAGCAAAAACGTAAACGTAAAAACCAAGCCTGGGCCTGGGCCTTTTGACGGAAGACGCAAAGTTGGTTGGGCACCAACATCGTCTCCAGACGTACACCATGCTGTTGCCAGTGATGTCTTGTGAGCAGTGCGGCCAAAGACAGACGACTAGTGCGTCGATGAATGTATGTGTCGCATTCTGTCGTCTTGAAGGTGAACAGACTGTAGCAAAACGATCTTACTCGATGTCAACGGTCATGCTGCGATACAAATGGCCATATTTGAGGCACAACGAATGGCAAAATTCCTCGATGGTGGTAACACAGACACCGCAGTGAGCTCTGCCAGCGGGAAGCGTCCAGAAGCCAGAACCCAAGTGAGGGTGCGGATTTGAGTCCTCACGAGTACGGCGAGCCGCAAACCCAGAAATGCTGGCATTGTATTTTCGCTGACGAAATTCGGTGGAATTGATCCCAAACACAGTACATAGTATGACTGGCGACTGTTTGGTGCGCGTTACGCAGGACCACAAGTGATTACACTTTATAGCATTTCTAAGTAGCAGCTATAGCTAATATTTACAGACCCTGTTTGCTCTGTGACTCTACGACCCTCTAACGCAGCAACCAACGTAAATACCAGGCGATATTCTGGAATTGTGGTGGATTGATGTAGCATGTAGTTCCCGGGGCTGGTGTTCATGATTCCTGAGCATGGGTTCCATGCAGCAATTGGCATGTACGACAACGTGTGACAAACAGAGCCCGTACACATGACGAGCAATGGCAAGAGCAAAACCACGGTCAGCTCGTTCTGTAGGGAGCCAAAGGGCCACGGGAAAGAACTGACAACAATTGAAGAAAAGAATGAATCAGTAAAGGGCTGCTCTAAATGGTCTATTGCCAAGTGTAGATACTGGAGGAAGCTTGGCGAAATGTGGCGGAAGTGCCGAGTGGCTCTAGCTGGCAATCCAATTGGTCTGTTTGGCTAAAGACACATACATGAACGACATGTTGTTCTCTCTTTAAGGAGGTGACTGGGGCCTTGAAGACAAACAGTCAATATATGGATGGGTGTCCAAACCATTATCCGCAACCTCGTTTTGCACAAAGCGAAAGCGAGCGGAGAAAAGCGCAAAGAAACGCCCGATGCAATTGGTCAGGAATAGAAACGAAAAAATAAGAAGCATGATAGGGATGTGCTGAAAGCTCTCCTGAAAGGGTCGGTTATCTTTACCAGCAGCTGCAAATAGAAGGATGAATAAGCTACTATTTAGAAATAGTAGAAGTTGGTTCACCATAACAGAGGCTAAGCCTTGGGGCTCGGCGATGTGCCCCTTACCTTGGTCGTCCCACTTCCCCTCCGCATTGCCATGAAGGCGGCGAAGCTCCAGGGTCCGGCAAGCTCTCGGCCCCTTCAAGCACAGCACGCTCAAACAACAGCTCCTATTCACATCCCATTTTGTGCGATATGTAAAAGGGGTGCTACGCGAGGACCGCATACCGCATTCATCCATCGAGCATCACGTTACATTGCATAGAAGATACAACATCTGGTGCCTCCCAAATGGCATGTGCTCGGGGTCGCAAATGGCGGACATACAGAAATGGAAAGGCCCCTAAAGGGCAATTATATGGATGTGTAGATTGCACTTGTCAAGAATTGAAGCCATCCCTTGAGCCTTGAAGGCAACGTCGGGCGTAGAAACACCCAAACAACGCGAAAAAGACGGCAGTGGAAACCGACGAGAAGCCCGCCACCTGAATCTCCCATCCACGTACACAATGTTCCGCAACAACTTTTGAGTCTGTATAAAGGGTGTCGACTGTACGTGCTTCAAAATCTACTGATTCAGTTGCTATTTATAGCGCTTCCACTCGAGCACATCCTGGAGTTGGCAAGTGGCAGGTACACGTGCGTTAGTAAATGGAGGACGCCACATGTTCGGTGACATCGTTGCCCTTTGCAAAGGTGAGGTGGACGCGATGCTACGGGTGATGGAGGAGTTCCTCCTTCGGCAATTTTTCGGGTTGCCGCCTGGAGGTGGCAAGCCGAAAATTGCCAATGACGATGCATAACATGGCCTACGTTGGTCCGACATAGATATGCGCAAGCTGGTATGTAACGTGGGCGCCTGTACATTTGCACATGGTTGCGCGTGAATATGTGTTAGCATGTGCGCGGAGAATGTGAAGAAATGTGGGGCCGCAAGCTGCCATAGCAAGCAAGCACTAGCAAAAAAAGGACCAAACAACAGTTTTGCGAACACACGTAAAACACATTTCATCAAAGTTTTGCACGCTAAGAACACAAAAATTAACCCAAACCCGTAAAGTTTGTACACGTTTGAACACGTGTTATTTTGCCCTTTTTTTCCTAGTAAAGCCTGGTTGGACATATTCCTGTTATTGAATGAGGTGAAGGGAAACGGTGATGTCTAAATGAACTATGAATGATCATGAAATGGTCGGTATATAGATGGCGAGTGCCGGCACAAGGACGGGCAATTGAAAACGGGAGGTACATCGAATCCCACAGCGTAGAGCTTACAGTGCGCAGACTGGGTACATATTAGGTAATTCTGGGAGCGCATCGTGATGTTCGCTTCAGGGCAAGTCTCGCACGCATCGTTGTCACGGCATTTCTTTCAAGGCAGCTCCCCGCGACAGCCGCCGCGTGGCGGCATTCTGCCGCATTCACTGCCGCGGGCCGTGCGGCACGGCAGAAAACGCCGTTGGACGGCTTTCATTGCAACTTCCAGATCGGGAAATTCAACCTGAACTCCCGCACGCCAGCACCGAATTTTTTGGACCGGCGAACGCGCCTCACGAATCGAAGGCTGTACGATGGGCCGCAATCGCAACCATCAAGGGACTTCGCGTTGCGGGAACCGCGATCGCATCAACTGAAGGGCGTGCCCGTCAGGCTGCATGCCGCGGTTGAGGAACCCAACTCGGGGCGCCCGAGTGGACGCGCCCGCGGTGCCGTGCCGACATCAAGTGTCCGCAAGAAAGAGTCCCAAAGAGGGCTGGCGCTGCAGTCATGAGGGTTGGAACGGCCGTGCTCGCGCTGGTCCTGGCCGCGGCGGTCTTGGGAGTTGCCGGAGCCGATCAGAGCGGTGAGCAGACGTAACGATCCCGCTTCGACAGCGCTGGGTCCAGCGCCCGCTGCGCGGCGCGAGCCCAGACCGCGGAGGCCAGGCCGCCCATTGCTGTGCGCGCGGGCATGGACTCCCCAAAGTCTTTTCCGGCCAGCCGATTGCATGCAAGATTTGCGATCCACATGCGCGGCGCCGAATGCGCGATTCGATTCGTGCGCTGCGAATGCGTGAATGGTGGATTCGCGCGCGGAGGGGCGGGGGTGGGTGGGTTTGGGTGTGGGATCGCCACCACCAGTCTCTGGCTTTCGTTCACTTCTGCCTTCTGTCGTTTCCACCACGTCTGTCGCCCGTCAGCTCTGGTGACGTCTCGCGCAGACTCGCCGCTGCGCTGCCCCGAAATTTTCGGAACGCCCAAGTGTAGAGATGCGGCCCGGGCGGTGGCCCAGGTAGTTTCCATGCTGTCGAGTGAAGTTATCTCCGGTGGCTGCCGCGGGTATTGGGGAGCCGCAACCGGTTCCTGGCATCCTGCTGTTGCGCTGAAGTCCCGCCTTCTCAGCGACTGTGGCTGGGCCGTTGGGTCAGAGAACAATTTTTGCTCATCAATTGCCACACAGCAATGGGTATGTGCCGCAGATTTGTGATTCACCTGTACGGACCGGCTTCGCAGGCTTTGGATGGCTTGTTCCTGTGAACATTGAGCCCATAGATAATTTGATAGTAAGGAAAACTGAAGCTCGAATGCTTCATGACAGGGGCGTCGTGATCGCAAAGCTTCTGTGCAAATAGGGCACGCGATTGGTGCTGCTAGACAAATTGAAACTGATAGTGTTGTTTTACAATTTGTGCTGGGCATCAGGAAGAAATGGGTCTTGACCAGTTTTGCAAGTGGCTGAGTCAGTAACCTGATGTGCTGTTGTGATACAACGCTGCCAAGAGGCAAATTATCTTGATAACTTCAGACAGAGCTGCAAGTCTGCAGCTCTATTATTAGTGGGCTGGATTACGTTTCTGCAAAGCGCGACCATCCAGCTTCTCTTCCACTGTCTGTCTTTATGATAATGGCGTCTTTCATCTTTAGATAGGGCTGGGAGGACGGGCGTCAATGACAATTGACACAGAAATATTGGGAGAAGATGAAGTGAAACATTGAGGTTGAGATGGGAATGGAGCAAGGGGCATTGCCAGCCACTGACACAACACTGCATGGAATGGTGTAGAGGACTCCACTGCAGAACAAAGAAACGACTCAGTAAGCGACATCTGTGTCCTTGAAGTGTGAACTGAAATGCTGTATCTCTACAATGTGTCAGGTGAAATCAGTCCAGGTCGCAAACTGAAGTTCTTAAGTTTCGACAAAGATCCCGAGACCGGACGAGTGCAGGCAAGTAGCTTCCGTTCGAGCCAATGATTTCCCAAAAAATCCAATGGTAGTGTACACACGAGCTCACAGGACTCTTTATTGCCATGAATCGTTGTTGCTATCATCAATGCAGCAAGGTCCAGACGCAGACATGGGCACATGCATGGGTGTTTGAAGTGTTGCCAAGGCAGTTAAGATAGTGAGTCTTGCGCTATATGGAATTGCAAATTCATTGGTGAGCTTTGGTGATGGTATCCCCAACAGCTCCAAAAAAGGGCATAATGTTGAATTGGAGTCCAACCCAACTGCCTGTGTGAAGCACAAGCCCCCTACCCTCCCCTGCCCCTCCCCTCCCATCCCTCTCCTGAAAACTAATGCCTGTGGCTTTTAATTGTTGCTCTACTTAGTAGTATGCACTTCTTGCAGTGCTCAGAAGCCACCCCTAATTGCCTTGTTCTAATTGGCATGTTAAAATGCGCTCAGGCTTGTCGCTTCATGTGAGACCTTTTGCAGATTATACTGGACGAAATTGGCTTCTTTGTGCACATTCCCTCTGCGATTAAATATGCTCAGGGTGGTGGCCGTATACGTTTGGTCGCTTCGCCAAGAGGTTCCCTTCCAGCAGGAATTGTGGCAGTTGCAATCCTTGGCCAATCGACATGCACATGTTTATGCAGTTTAAAGCTTCTGCAGTAGACCAGTGATGGCGTGTGCGTTGGGGCTGTGTTAAGCTTTATAATTAGTCATATGGTCATTATATTGCATAAGTTTGTGCATTATAGTGCAACATACATGTTGACATGTATGTTTTCGTCTGCAATTATCGACCAACGTCATACAAAGGCACTGTTAAGAAACGAATGCTGAAAGAACTGAACTGGGTGACACTCCACGGACATTGAACGACTCTCCAGCAGCGCCCAACCTGGGCGTTGGGCTGCAAACTTTGTGGAAGTTTGCGCCCAACCTGGGCGTTGGGCTGCAAACTTTGTGGAAGTTTGCCCCCCCCCCCCCCCCTTCCCCCCTTAGGTGACCAGAAATAAGCCAGTACCAAGTCCGTGGTGGGGATCCGTTCCCCTTGTACAGAAGTCCTGGCGCTCAGCGGATTGCATCGTGGTGAAATCAACAAGAGCATAACTATGCTCTTTCCGGGCAGAGCTGCATGTCCAAGCAAGTTCCAGCCAAATTCGCTGTTCCTGAAGCGATGTTCCAGCAGACAACCTTGTGGGCGCATGCGATGCAGGCATGCATGCGCATGATTTGCAAGGAACAGAAGCCCTCCAAAACTGTCACACCTGTCCCAACTCCAGCACACGCCACTGAACCACACCATTTTTGTTCAAACGACTATGACTGCACACATGGAGAAGGACGCCACAGCAGAATTTGTTAGACCCTCTGCCACATGGCCTGGCGAGTGACTTGAAAAACTCGCAAATCGAAGCGACACCAATACTGGCATTGACACTGATATCGCTGAAGTCACGAAGCGACACCAACACTGCTATTGAAGTTAATATCGTTTGGCGTCAATGGATTGTTTGCTGAACAAAGACGTGTTCCTTGCACCAGATTCGGTCCAGTTTCTTCAACATCACTGTCCGGCCCGGAGAGTCCACCGACGTCCAGGTGGGCAGGGACGGCGACATCCTCGACTTCAGCAGCTCGGGCGGCAATGTCAGCGTGCAGGTCGGCCGCAACGGCAGCCTAGTGGACGTCCAGACCAACGGCAACGGCACCGACGTCACCGTGCCGGGCACGACCGTCAGCACCGGCGGGGGCAACACCACCGTGACGTCCGTTGGGGGCTTCAGCCTGAACAAGACCGCCAACGGCACCGTGGCCAAGGCGGGCAAGGACGGCGACCTGCTGAGCGTGGCGAGGTCCGCCGACGGCACCAGCGTGTCCGTGGGGAAGAACGCCAGCGTCGTGGGCGTCGTGTCCACCAACAACGGCACCGTGGCCAAGGTGGGCGAGGGGAATGTGCTGGACGTGAGGACGGGGGGAGGCAACACCACGGTGGGCGTGGGGAAGGGCGGCCGCGTCGTAGGCGTCCGTTCTTCGGGCAACGGCACCGTGGCCAAGGTCGGGAAGGGGGACGTCTTGGATGTGCGGACGGGGGGGGAGAACACCACGGTGACGGTGGGGAAGGATGGGAGCGTCGCGAACGCGGTGTCGACAAGCAACGGCACCGCGGTGAAGGTTGGAGATGGGGACGTCTTGGACGTGCGCACGGGCGGCGAGAACACCACGGTGACGGTGGGGAAGGATGGGAGCGTCGCGAACGCGGTGTCGATAAGCAACGGCACCGCGGTGAAGGTTGGAGATGGGGACGTCTTGGACGTGCGCACCGGCGGCGAGAACACCACGGTGACGGTGGGGAAGGATGGGAGCGTCGCGAACGCGGTGTCGACGAGCAACGGCACCGCGGTGAAGGTTGGAGATGGGGACGTGCTGGATGTGCGGACGGGGGGCGGAGACACGACTGTGGAGGTGGGAAAGGACGGCAGCGTCGTGGACGTCGAGGCCTCAGGGGACGGGACGGTGGCGACTGTGGGCGGCGGGGACGTGTTGAACGTGCGGACAGGCGGCGGGAATACGAGCGTGTCGGTGGGGAGTGAGGGGAGCGTAGCGAACGTGCAGGCGTCGCAGGACGGGGGTGTCAGCGGGACGGTGGGCCAGGGATTCCCACTGGTCCCGTGACTGCCACGGCTATGGCTGTCCCGCCGCCTGCGCTTGTGATTCGTGTGTGTACGCTATGACGAGGTTGGAAGTCGCGACCGAAATGTTCATGTTTGATAAGTGTTGAGATGGCAATGGCCATCAACAGACGGGAGTTTTGTGGTGCGCGCGGCAAACGCTGAGAGCTTGGCCCTTGCAGAATAATGTGTCGAGGGATGGCCGGGTGCTTGGATGGCGGTGGGGACTGCTGGGCACGACGCTGTGAAGGTGACGCCTAAGCTGCATGGTGCGCCCCGGGATGTGGCATAACAGGATCTATTTTTTTGTTCCTCGTCGATGATCTTGGCGTCGGCGGTCACCTGCTCCACCGTCTTCTTATTCTTGGGCTTTCCATTGCAGCGGGGGCATCCTGTCGGGCACTCGACACACTCTGGCGACGCCTTCCAGAGGATCCCTCTCTTGCCCACGGTCCCCAGTTGGGTGCCCAGTAGAGGGCGTCGCCAATCGAAATTTGCGATGTACGCACCTCGGACTCCTTGGCCACCTCCAGCACGACCTTGTGCTGCATCTTTGGTTCCTCGCGAGCAGCTTCTGCAGCGAACGCCTGGTCTGCGGTGCGGGTGGAGGTTGTGCAGCGAGCCAAGTTGGCAGTTCTATGAAGATTCAAGGGGCGATGTTTGGTTGAGGATTCCGCACTCATCCTAGACATACGTTCTGTTGTTCTGCTGATTCTTCAAAGCACATTAGGTTGACCAAATGCAGTTTTTGTTGTTGGTGCTGTCCTATATGGCGAATGCCAGGGCAGCAAATCTGCTGGATGCATTTTACATGCGTGTAGATTGTTGCTGTGGTGGGCATATATGTGGACATGTGTGGACATATATGCATATATATGGACATATATGGACATATGGATGTACGGACATATTTGTATATGTATGTGTTTGGGCCTGCTATATAGAGGCCTCCTAAACAGACGATTGCCCACTTATCCACTCTAGACGAACAGCATGGCCAGTGCCGCGGATTCAGGGTGCAAAGGGGACTGACGACGCAAAGGCTGCCTTTGGATTCGTCGCGTGATTCACTAGTCCGGCACATATCCCCGGCCTCATTGTTCAAGAAGAACTGCAGGCTGGAAAGCGGTTCTTTCAAAGCATGGATTCCCATGATTGCAGTCGCCCGCTGGCAGCAGCGCAAGGACAGTGGCGCTGCCCAAGATGCACCTCGGCTGTGCATGTACTGCCCTGCAGGTGCATTGGGTACTGTCCGTTCGCAATCTGGTGAGAGATCCTCTCGTGTACTGCAGTCCACCAGGTGGTTGCTGGTGTCCTCACCAGCCAGAAGTGCCTCCTCGTGGCCCACGCAGAGCGCGGTAGTGGAAGCGCTTGTGCCACTACCGCAAGTGCCACTTCAAGTGAATCATTTGAGGTGCTCTGTGCAGATCACCCACCATGCTTTCCGAGCCCCGGCATGGTACTAGCCCATCACACACGTGTGATGGCCGAGTTCCAAGCGGGGGGCCAGAAAGCAAGGCGAGAGCGAAGCAGCTTTGGCATGTCAGCACGAGTCCTCACGCAAGTATATCCAAGAATGCGCGGCTGTTGCTGTACACCCTGCACAGCGCATACGATGTGCAGACATACGATGTACGGGCCGTACTGACATCGGGGATATGAAATTGTGAGTCCCAGCACGTGGCGGCATGTGATAGGTGGGATGACGACACCGCACCTGGTGATAGAGATCTTCACAGCACCCCAGCAGTGACGTCGCATCAAGTGACGGATCTACTTCTAGCCGTGCGACGTGCTGCGCGCCCTTGGGAGCAGACCAGGCGCTCAGAGAGGCATCCGCTCGCGGTGCCTTGCCAACAAAGGGTCCCCCGAGTAGCTATTCCAGAAGCATCCCAGGAACTGCTGCGGCAAGCATGAGAGCGGGGACGGCCGCGCTGGCGCTGCTGGTGGCCGCCGCGGTCTTGGGAACCGCGGCAGCCGAGGGGAGCGGTGAGCCACGCGCGGATTGTGGTTGGACAGCCCATCCAAGCAGGGCGCGTACCCCGGCAACGACCAGGACGTGGTCGCTCAATGTTTGCGTCCACAAACTGATCCGTGGTTCGTATCCGCCATGTGGACGGTGGAGTAAATTTGGCAGTGTGATCGCATGGATGACTGCGATGCACATGTGGGGGCGCGCAGTGCGGGGAATTTTGTCCGCGCAGAGCGCATTCGCCGATGGATTTGCAGATGGCGGGGGTGCCTGCCCTGCGAAGCATCTGCGTGTCGCTGCGTTCTGCCTTCCAGGTGCTTGGTTCCATGACCTGTGGCCGTCGCTCTCTGGACAGTGGGCGACCGCCCTGGCATGGAACAAGGTCGCGATCTGCGGACCACTCGCCCCTGCTCGCCCCACGGCGGCGGCCGTGTCGCGAATTGTGCAGTTCCTGCGTGCAGGAAACGCCCAGGCATTGAGTTGCCGGCACTGAAACGGCCCTGGTCAGGCCACACATGGGTGGCACGCTTGGAAGTTTGGCCGGTGAAGGCAGTTCGGATGGTCGGCGTGGTGGGGTTGCGAACCGTTGCCGACGGCGAAGGGGCCTCCGTTGCGTTCCACGATAGTCAGCGATACCTGTACGAGGGTTGACTTACACCACTCGTCACGCGGGGGGTGCTCGTTCCCTTCTTGTGCAAGTTGGACAGTGCCGTGAGTTCGTGCTGTGCCGAGACTGGTGCATCATCGTTCGCAGGTAGAAACACAGCCTAGCCGTCTCTTTTCAGCTGCGGGAGAGCCCGTTGCGCGACGCGATTCTCCTTTCCTTTGGCATCGAATCCTTTCGCCCTTTCGCGGCTTTGTCACACCGCCTTCGCGCGGAGACAGGCGCGATATCGGGTTGTTGCAAGTTTCTTTGCGCTGCATGTGCGGCTCATAAATGGGGCGGCGCAAGGACACGCTGCCTACATCCACAGCACAATTTCGCTAGCTGGAAACTCTTGTGGTTGAAACCCAAGGAGTGCTGGTGAGCACTTGCTTTCACCAGTGCTGGGGATGGCGGCAGCGTAAACGAAGCTTGCACAACGCGATTGGGCCCATGTCTTGCGCAGTCTACAAATGCACCATCTTCACATTTCAACACGACTCGAACAAAAACCCAAATCATTCAGAATGGGCCATTCTTGGCTGGCGAAACGCGGGCATCTCCCTATGAGAAAGTTGTGCACGTGGACGCTTTCGGGATGAAGAAAGCTGTACTAGATCCGCTGCCAATGGCTCAACCAATGTCACAACACCGCTGCGTGAATTGGGGGGCAACGAATCCCATAAGATGCAGCCGATTGTTCAGCTGACATCAGAATGCAAGCGCGCCTTGGGCGTTTCCAGAACAGTCCACGTGAGCGACCTGGTGTACCGTGCTTGTGGTGGAACTGTTGATAAATCAAACGATTGGCATTTCCGTACATGTGCTATGGAAAGAGCTACCAATCTGCGTCACTGTCTGGAATGGAGCCAACTTTTTGTTCTCAACGGCATGACGTTCCGATGTTAATGATAGGAGACTGGCGGTTTCTGGACAGCTTAATGGCACAGGCGTCAATTGAATTCCGCACCAATCTTGGGTGCGGATAGCATTGGTGAATTGGGGCTGAACTGGGCATAGATCAGGTGTATAAACAGTGGTTGGGACAACTAAGTGTGAAATGGTATCGAAGCAACGCATTGCCGCATGGAGAGACATGGTTGTTAGCCGCATGTACTTGCATTGAAGATTAAATTGGAAATCGGTTGGCTATGTGGTGCAGGGGAAATCAACCCAGGCCGCAAGCTGAACCTTTTCCGCAGAGACCCTGATACTGGACGACTGCAGGTGCGCTGGATTCTATTTCTGCAAGCGATTACCGCACAGCAGACCTCAGATCACATGTGTGAGACATTCCCTTGCCATGCATAGCCGTTGCCATCATCAGTGCAGCGTGGCATGGGCGTGGCTGCGGTGGCACATGCTCTATTGTTGAAGGGTTGCCAAGGCGATGCAAACAGTGAGTCTCGTTTGGTGTGCCTAACACATTCAGCTACAGCATTCACTCAGCACACGTCAAACACAGAGGTTCACATTCAATGCATGAAATACCACATTGCAGGGATTTATCGCAGTTGCAGTTATTATTGTTATAGTGTAGCTGATGTATGAAATGCTGTAGCACGACAGAACATGCAGCGCTTTCTAATCCTGAAAGCATGTAACGTGCAAAGATAACTGGATCACCCCCTCATGGCGGGAACTATTTTGTGCATCTTGATGACCCATGCGGACCGCCCCTTCCCCCCCTCCTCCCCATCACCTCCTCCTCCCCAGAAAATTTCCCGTTGACACATAATTTGGAAGGCATGCCCACAATGCACCTTGTCCACAATGCACCACTGCCAGTATCAAATTCCAGCTTTCCGTACACCCATCGAAGTAAACCCTGCCATGATTTTAGCCAGTTCCCTGCTGCTATGTTCAGCCGACAACAGCATGGGCGCTCAGCGTTGGACATGCATGTCCCCAACGCAGCTGCACGCTAACGGCCCATCCCATGTTGTTAAGTTGGAGGTTGGAGCGATGGCTTGAACTGCTAATCCAGAGTGCCCACAGGAAGCGCAGACACACCGCATACTCAGCGCCAGCCCAGACCGCGCTCATACACGGCGCCGTAAGGCGGCTCCCACATAGAAGTCGGGCTTGCACGTTTGCTTGTCTGGTTACAAGTTTCAAAACAACCGTGCTTGCTGAACACCTGCACCAAACGCGACTAAATTTCATCCCGTCTCACAAGCACCGGCCTGCCTATTTGTAATCCCAAGATCCGCCTCATCACAAATGCCCATCAAGCAGCTCCATCACATGGCCACCCAGCGCACAATCAAGTACAGAATTCGCCATAGATGTCCTTTCACACAGAAATCAGTTGGGAATATGTGCAGCTATAACCCGGTATCTCCGACATCACCAAAATACAATGATGGTGCAAGAGCATCAAGCGAGAAGCTCGGTCTTTCAACACCACCTCACCACTCAAAAACAACATTTCTGACTGCTAATATAATTCATATAATTAACTATCTTGTTAATGAGTTTCTGCCAAGGACGACGTTGGGTGGGTGCACGCCGGCCATGCTGGGCCGGGCTGCCTTTCTGGACCGTTTCAGGGCCATCAAAAGCCGATTTCTTTCGCCCCTGTACGTGGGGTCAGTTCTGACCGCCGGATCCAAGGGGCAACCGGGTGATCCTTGTAACTTGGGCGTAGACAATGGGACAGGTCATTCTGGTCCTTATGTTTGGCGGGAAGTTTGGCGGCAAGTGGGAACGGCTATTTGGGGCGTGACCCTTTATCTTGTTTCACACCCACCCGGCCCACTCCAATAGAGTGAGTTTCGGTTGGTTGTGGGATGGAGAGGGAGCTGAGTACGAGGACAAGGGAGCTGACTCAGGGCTAAGGCACCATCAGTGTGGGATTAAGTACTATGCGAAGCGAGGGCACATTTCAAGTGGGTCGCCAATCAGGTCTTGTATTAGTGAGGTGATGGACACCAGTACGTTTGTGAGTGTAGTGTCTTGTCGCGTGGGAACACGTGTGTGTGTGTGTGTGTGTGTTGAAGGAGACCAGTAAGGCAGAAATATGGTCATGTGCAAGTCATAAAGATATTTTAGAATCAAAAATAAGCAAGAAACTAAAGGCACTGTAAAGTTGTGAAAAATTTCATCTACGACTTCCCCACAAGGTTTCTTGTGGACAACATACCTGGCCAAAGCGTTTCCATATGAGCAGCTCAGCTCTTTTCGACCACGCTCATGTTCGTTTGTGACAACACGAGCTTTTGTGAAAAAGCCACGCCATGAGCCAAATCAGGCCAAATGAAAACGGCATGATGTCAAAGAAGTTCACTGATGCTTGTGAGTTTTAGTGGCGGCGGTCAGCTGGGGTCATCCCATGAAAAAACAAACTCTCTTTGAAATGCAGAGTAATCGCTAGCCATTAAGCGTAGTCGATCCAACTAGTGAAACGATGGTCATTGCGTGGCTACGAGCACGATGTTCATTCCAGCAGCAAGCCATCCTTTCCAAGGAGAAAGAATCGCAGTGTTGTGCACTTTGGTTGACATTTGATATTGATTCAAGCACATGCTGCGAAATGAGCGACATTTATGCCAGTGGTCTGTTTATTCAACGCAGATACGATCCCGCCTGTTCAACATCAACGTTTTACCCGACGAGTCTACCAGCGTCCAGGTGGGCAGGAGGGGCTGGCTTTTCAACTTCTTCACCGGTGACAGCGGGACAACGACCAGTGTGGGCGACGGGAGCCTTGTGGATGTTCAGACGACCGATGCCGGCACCACGGTGAACGTCGGGAGGGATGGGAACCTCGTCAACGTGCAGACTGGGGATTCAGGCGTTGCGGTGAATGTCGGCAATAATGGGGATTTAGTGAGCGTGCAGACTGGAGAACCAGGCGTTGCGGTGGATGTCGGCAATAATGGGGGGGATTCAGGCGTTGCGGTGAATGTCGGCAATAATGGGGATTTAGTGAGCGTGCAGACTGGAGAACCAGGCGTTGCGGTGGATGTCGGCAATAATGGGGATTTGGTGAGCGTGCAGACTGGAGACCCAGGCCCTGTGGTGGATGTTGGCAATGGCTTGGTTGAAGTCCAGCCTGCAAACGAAGGGCCAGTAGCGGACGTGGCCGGTGAGCCTGTTGTTGACCAGCCGGCCTCAAGCTAAGGGGCAGCGGTGGTCGTAGGCAATGTGGGAGTGTGTTGGAAGTGCAGACCGGCGGTGGGCTACCAGGTTGAAAACGGGGCGCCTCATGGACGTCCAGGCGCCATAGGACAAAGGTGTCAGCGCCACAGTGGGGTCCAGCACAATCGCACCGTGATGAGGAGTGCTGCCATGGCACCCGCATGTATGGAATAAGCGAGCCCATATTTACAAAGTTTGGAATTGCGACCACAAATGCGCTGGACGATTTTCATCCGAATGGCAACGACCATCGAGCAGACTCAGGGTCGCGAAGTGGCAATCAAACATCGAGCACAGCCGTTGCAAAATAACGCATTGAGGGCGTTCTGGGTCTGAGAGCGGTGGGAGATGCAGGGCGCGACCTTGTCAAGGTGATGCCCCAGCTGGCAGGGGGTTGGTAGTTAAATAAGGGTTGGATTCGATTGTAAACATCAAGTCGGGTCTGGCACACCCTTTGCTGCTATGGCGTCCCTCTTCCTCTTCAGCTTTGCCACACGCGTGGTCCGCTCGCCCTCCCTTTTCCTAATTCGGTTGTAAATCCAGCGGTCCTTCTTTCTTATCATCATTTCGTCCATGGCCTTGGCGTCGGCGGCCACCTGCTCCGCTGTCCTCTTCTTCTTGTGCTTTCCCTTAACATGAGTTGGAGCCTTGGAGCCACTCGAAGCGCCTCCTGAAGGGCCATTCTCATTGTCTCCTGTCCCCAGTTCGGCGCCCAGTTCTGTGAGGTACTGCTCCTCAGCCTCCTTGGCAGCCTCCAGTGAAGCCTGCTCCTCCATCTCCGGGTCCTCGCGAGCAGTTTCTGCAACGAAGGTCTGGTCCGCAATCCCGGTAGATATTGTGTTGCGGGCCAGGTTGGCAGATTCCTGCAAAGTCAAATGGCGGTGACTTGGTAGATAGTATCTGCTAGGTACAGATATGCACACCACCAAACCTTGGGACAGGTTCCACCACTGTTTCTACTTGTCATACAACGAACTTCCTCACTTGCACAATTCTGCATGATGATTGTCAGGGCAGCATATAAACCTAGCCAGAGTGCTCCTATGGAAGGCATAGTGCATTTCCAACACCAGCGAGTTCCATCCACCCAAAAGGAGCAGCACAGCCAGCGTTGCAGATGCAGGACACAAAAGAGAAAGAAGACAAGGCGGTTACCTGCAGCCTCTTAATCTGGAGGGCGTAGTCCGGTACATACCCCTCATCTTCATAATCCACAAAGGGTGACAAGTGGGGAGGCAGGGTCTTCCCAGGGGCATAACCATCTGCCGGCAGCAGCAGGCGGGCATTTGCGCTGTCGAAGACCCACTGGGGCTGAATGTATTCCCGGTGCTCACGCATCTGTTTTGGTGATGGCCTGTCCACAACTTGGTGGGTGATGCTGTCATCTGCCTCGCTGACTGGTGACCCCTCTCCGCACCAGCCAGCGCTACCTCCAAATGACCTATGGTGTGCACCACACAGTGTGAACTCAACGATGCTGGTGTGGCAAGTGCCATCTAGGCTGGGGCTGCCTTGCAACACATGGGCTGCATGCGCTGAAGGGGATGTGTCGAGAGTACCTTTGAAAGGGCTGGAAAGCAAGGTGAGAGTGGCACAGCAACACACGTTCACACTCATACCATCTCTCAAGCACAGAAACTTGAAACATGCCTGACGATCCAAATTATCCAAATGCCTGACAGTCACAACATGATCCTGACGATCCAACCTTACCAAAAACTCCCTGAAGATCAAAGTGACAGTTCCATATTGTGGCCCCATGTTGTAAATGAGTTGACAGCAGTGTACCTGATGACAAAGAGCAGTGTCTCCATCGGGACCTCCCTTCCAAGAAAGAACACCAGGCCATTGAAGAGCCGCTCACAGAGGGTAGCTTCATCCTGCGAGTCCACTCCAACCGTGGCCCCTGCTGCCTTCTCCCCTTCCACTTCTTGAGCAGATGGCCCAACATCATCACCAGAATCGCTTGCTCCCTGCTCGCAGGCATCAGCAACCTCGGGAAGGGGCACATCAGCACCTGCTGCCCCATCGCTTGTCTCGTTGTCCAGGCTTTCATCAGAACCTGAAAAGGGCAAACTGATCTTGTCACAGGGCTCAGGTGGCACAGGACCGTTGTGCCATTATTCCTTTCAATAATTTTTGGGTTTTGGTGCTGCCACATGAGCTCCACCACGTTGTCGAGTCTGGTGCAGGAGCATGTTACCGAGTTTGAGCACAGGTCATTCTGGCAGAGCCACGAGTCAAGGAAGACAATGTTTTCAGCGAAACAGGAGAAGCTCTGCGAAATTGGCAGTGATATTTCCAACTTGCCATGGCTTCTACAGTGGGAGATGGGATTTTGCGATTTTCAGATGGCTTCACATATCACAACCACTTTCCCAGAATGTTCAGCTTGAAATTTGGGGGCCAGTGTGACATGCACTTCCTGACCAATTTGATGTCAAGGTGACCTGGCCTTCAGGTGCCCACCAGTGTCTTACAGCAAGGCCACAGAGAGGAGTATGACTATAAATGGTGTTCAAGAACAGACACAGGAGCGCATAAGGCTTGATAAACCAGTTCATAATCCCATCCAATGCAATGAATCCTAATAAATAGGATATAATGCAGTTTTCTGAGACGCTACACAACCTCACCCTTACACAGCTCCAAAACTGCACTAATACCTGAGTCTATTTCAGGCATATCACTGCCACTCTCTGCTTCACTCTCTTTAGCATCCATGGCTTCAGCACCTTCTGCACAGTCATCCTGTCTGGCTGTTCCTTGCTTCGTCAACTCATCGATCTTGTCAGGAAGGGTCACCATCCGCTCCCTCACAGAACTGCTGATCTCAGCAAGCCCCGATGCTGTGTGCGCCTCCTCACGTCCTGAAAAACTGGGTCGTGCAAGGTCCTTCATGATGGCCTCCAAATGGGCCGCAGCATCGGACAAACGCTTGTCCAAGACTGGGGGATAGCGCAACTGTGGGCACAACATGTCAATCCTTCTGTCAATCTTGCAATTCTGTAAGCTCGTGCCTTTGCTGAAGCAACAAGTCAAACGTGGTGAGATATACAAGTAGCACAGTTGATTAATATGAGAGATTCGCAGAAAAGCATATACACACCTACAGGAGCCCAAATCGGTTGTGGTGCCTTGATGCTCATTTAAGTGGCGATTGCAACCACTTGTGACAAACTAAAAGAAAGCTGTGAGACAAACTGTATCACCTGATGATGTTGGTGACAAGGTGGTTGTATGCATTCCTGTCACTGCCTACAGGGTGGAAGGACATTACTTTATCTTGTGTAAGGGACTTTTGAAGGAATGTGGCTAGTGAGAAGGTGGAGACTAACTGCGGCCTGTTGAAGGTCACATTGGTACTGTAGTGGAAAAGGAACAGGACGCCTGATGTTCGCTGCATTTGCCATTCCTCAGCAAACCACTGCCCTTGCACTTTCTCAGTGTTGTCAGGCTGTTGGTTCTGGAGCACAGTTGGAACCCTCAGACCATGTTCCTGTGCAGGAAGCAGAAGTAAGGCAGAGCATAGAAATGCAGAAAACACTCACCGAAAGCGAATGGTATAGTTTGAAGTTGACAAAGGTCATCATGGTCTCATAGAACTCCAGGAAAGTCGTAAGCACCATCCAGTCCACATCCTCTGGGATGAGCTGCGACACCTGGTGTGGTGCCAGCCAAGTCACGCACTGTCCCATCACCTCAGCCTGCAGGAGCCAAGCAACAAACGATCCATTAGAAGATCATTCAGCATAAACACAAGCAGGCGATCAGGACAGGCTCCTCAAACGCCTCGGGGATTGCCACCAGGATGTTCACAAGTGGATGGGTGGTAGGGAACTGCAACATGAACATAATGCTGAACACACTGGCAGAAGGCAAGCTCGATGCAAGACAGTACAAGAAAGGACACAGCAGCATTGATAGTCTTTGCTGCTCCTGCACTGGCTGCTGGTTGTGCAGCCCTTACCAAGTCCACAGAACAACGTCCAAGAGTACATACCCAGCACATCACACGGAATCAATTCTATCCATGCTGCACACTGGAAACAAATTATCAAGCTGTTCTGACGTGGGGAAAAGCACCAACTCCCCATTCTCCTTGGGGAGAACCATGAACTTCTGGCTTGGATGACTGCTGACCAAACAGAGCTCTTCACATTAATATGACCGGGTCATATTTCTCTCTGCTGGCCCAAGCAGTCACAGCGTTCAGCATAAGATTTCTGTTCACTAGGGATGAAGTGTGACCCAAAAAGGGCACCCTCCACACTGAACGAGTTGATTTGGACTTAGTTTCCATATTAAACAAGATGGTAAGTGGATTCCCTAGTGGCTCAAGAACAACACTGAATGATGACAACACTCAGGCAGCCCTGGATCACCTGGTAATAATAGCCCTTGACAGAAATGAACACCTTTCTCAGCGAGTGTGTCCTGGCGATGTATGCTTGGAACTCCATCGCCAGCCGTTTGGCAAGCTCACACATGTTCTGCGGGATATTAACATCGGTCTTCTCAACAGCTGGTAGGCATGCAAACAGGTGGACCATGGTCAAGGGGTCGTCCAGGTCACGAAGGGCGTCGATGAATGAAGGGTACCTGAAAAGACGCATGGTTGCCATTGGCAAGACATTGGACCCATGCAGTTGTCAACTGGCGCCAGCATCTGCCTTGGCACCTTGGAGGGGATGATGTACAGGGCCATTGGTGCACTGCAATTTGCATGTCGAATGTCTTTTCTCAAACAAGAGCTTGTGGAGAAGATGCACAATTCTGCGCTGATTGTATGTTGCAACAATGCTACAAATCAGTGCCTTTGCATTGTCTGGCATTGTCTGGCGTTGTCAGGTAGCACTTGGGTGCTGTGGCCAGACTGCACATCACATGCTGTTTGGGACAATGTCACTTGCTGTTGATGGTGGTGTCCCAGCCTTATAACATCGTAATCCACTGGCTAGACACCAGGTCTTAGCAAATGCATTTACAAGGTTTATGGCCTACAACCATGATTATAACAGCCGATGCATCAAGTGGATCAGAGAATAGGCATGTGATATATATTTGTTTGTCTGCTACCAGGCCCATCAACAGCCAAGGAAATACTCAAGAGGGCAATCTTTATCCAATCTGATATTCAGTTTTCTGTTCGTTTGCGATTCCTTTGTCTATCTGCAGCAATCGATTGCTGTGACATGCCTTCCCAGCCCCTCACCTTTCTCTGACAAGGTGGTCCAGCTTGTACTTGGGCTTGATGACCTCCAAGCGCTCAGTTTCATCATAGTTCAACTTGCCAGCTGCACGCTTGACCTTCTTGTTCCAGGCCTTCTCCTCCCTGTAATGCATGCCACATCAGAACAGACAGCAGACAGGACATCACCAGCCCATCCATATTGACTCCCCCCCCTCCCCCCCAAAAAAAGCACCACGAGCACCACCAGCAAAAAAACGAAGAACCAGCAGAGAAAAAAGGGAGAATGGACAGTGTCCACTTCAGAGGCGTTGGGAGCTGTTGAGTCAGGCAAACAGCGAGGTGACCCCTGGGCATTAACTGCTGAACAAATGCAGCAAATCCGTACAATTCATGGCTGTGCTGTTGCAGGCTGCTTTGGATTGAGTGTATGTTCACTCTAGGCCTCAGAATTGTGTTGAAAGAATGCATTGTAGGTCAACTGCCAGTTCCTGGGCAATCAATAAGTATTGTAAGCCCTTGATTGCAGTTTGTTCAGGGGATCCAATGGCTTAGCAGTTTGTGCCACACCAACACAAACACCAAACTACTGCATCTGGATAGCCTTCAGCCTTCTACAAAAGCAAGCAGTGTTGAGACATTGAAACATAGCTGTTGAAGTATTTGAGCAGCTTTGGTGCTGTTGAAGTGTCATGTTATCTGCTCTGGGCGTCGTCATTGTGTTCCACAGGAACGCATGCGTGCCATTTCAGCTCACCTCAACTTGTGCAGCACCTGCTCGTGCGCCAGCCAGCGAAGGTCCTTGATGTGGTAATATGTCTTGTCCGCGCCATGCTTCTTTTTCCTGGGCTCCCTGGGGTGGATGCCTTTGAAGATGCACAACCGCCTGTCCAGTAGCCGCCAGCGGGTCAGTGCTGGACACCGGTCGACGGAAGCAATTGCCACGGGGAATAGAACCGGGTCTCACGATGCGCACAGCAATCGCAAAAGTTGCAAGCGAACATTCGTCAGTCGACAAGGCGACGTGCTGAAATCTGCGAGGACCAAACGAGAATCATGCAAACGCGCTGCAGCTCCAAGCATACGCTGCAGTTGGCGGCGCACCAGCACTGCCGCACTGCACGCCGCGGCCAGCAGGCCGACGACTCACCTGAAGTCCTTGAGGGACACCTGCAGCTTCCTGATCGCGCGGGTGCGCGTGAGGTAGTTCACCGCGTTCCCCTTCGTGCCCTGCGACAGCGGCGACGCCCGGATGAGGCCCGGGGCGACAGCGACGCGCGCCCAGATCAGGAAGGCAAGATGGAGATGGTGCATGCTTACCCTCTTTATCCTCTTCCCCATGTTGTGTCGCTGTCGATCGACGCGGGCTGTTCGCCGCCTCTCCCACCGCGGAGTGGGCAAGGCCGGTTGCGCAGTCCTCGACCTTGCCCCGGTGTTGGTTGGGTGCTTCGAATGGATTTCCAGGTGGATATTTTGCAACAAACACGAGAAGAAAAAATGAGACATTTCGGGCGCAAACTATCCGCACAATGGCAACAGCTGATTGGGATTCGTGCAGTTGCAGCAGAGTGGGTGTGGGTGGGGCCCGAAGCGATCTTGCACGCTGGCGGAGAGGGCACGCAGGGGCTACATGGGCGACGGGATCCCTCCCGCTTCGGCGTTCAAACTTCGCGGAGATGCCAAGCTGCAATACGTCAGGGAGGTGCGAAGCCAGTCCCCAAGCGCTGATGCTACCAAGAACCTGCTTCCTAATCAAAGGCCCAGGGGGGCCACCGCCGATCGCTCCAACGTGCACCTGTGCGCAGCTCTTTGACAGGATCGCCGATCGCTACGACTTCGTCAACGTGATCATATCGATGGGGCACTCCACGCTGTGGCGCTGGCGGGCGCTCTGGTTTGCTGGTGGGTGCGGGGCCGCCGCGTTGGCGACCTGGCGCCTGTGGAGTGAACTCCCGGCGTTTCGAGATATGGCGCCGTTCGGACACGTGCAGCACATGCTCGGGGAATTTGCCGCGCGTGGGCCACGTCCCGTGGGTCTCGGCGTCTAGAGGTTCAACGCACTCGTTTCTTATTGTGGGCCTCAGGGGCACAGCTCGGGCCCATGTGGGCCCTGTGAACTCTTCTGCGCAATTGGCTGACATGGTAATGGTGCGCCGCAACAAGTGAATGGAGATGGCTGGTCCTCGTGCCAGGCGTTTGCGGTTCAATTGCGTTTGGTGGATCACCAGTAGGACATGCGTCCAAACGGCAGGAATGTGTGTTGGCAGGGGACATGCTGCCCGTTGGCGCGCGTGTGCTGGACGTTGGATGCGGCTCTGGTCGGTACGGAGCTGAAGCCACTTGGCCAGCGCACACCTTTGCAGTCGCATGCCCCTTGCTCCCACTGAGGACCCGGCATGCCAAAGTACTTGGCCCGCCCTTCTGATACCCCATACTTTGCCAGGAACAGTTTCGGGTACCGTCTCCCTGCATTCAATGCCTTGACCTCTGCAACGTGGCGATGTGCTGCTCTGATGACACCCGTGCAATCCTGACCACACGATTGCACTTTGTTCTGGGAACTGCAGCTGGATTTGGGACGAAGATCGGACAGATCAGATCAATCTGAAAATCCTGGTGGCCGCAAACTCCAAGAATGACCTTGAACAGCGCAATTGGAGTGCCACGTTGTTGCATGCCCAGGCTTAACAGCATCCTCCCATTATATGCAACCAGGATATATACAGCATTGGAATCGATCTCAGGTGGCAGTATGACTGTGTTGATTTCCAGTGCCTTGCGTCTCCTGCGCTGGAGGTATGGGAGACAGAAGAAGCTGGAGATTGAGGTGGGCAAATGGTGCTGTGCCCTTGGTATCATGTTGTCGATTGAAGTTGTATTCAATATGATCTGCACATGCCAACAAGGGGGACATTAGGCGCCCATTTTCTCTCTTCAAAAACTATGCTCAGAGAACTGTATATGCCTGTCCAGGCGCTCATCTTCTGCTGGACCCAAATAATCCAGGCTATCCAACAGTGGTATGCTGCTTTAGTGTTGCCTGAGGGGAATGGTGGACAGGGCACTGCACAGGGGCCAAGCATCCTGCAGATGATATCTATGCACATAGATATCACATAGATTTGCAGATATCAGCTAATCGCAGTGCCTTCTGCCACTTGCATGCTTGCCTCAAAAGCGTTTCAGTTCTCTGGGTTTGGTTGAACATTAGCCCATCTTTGGAGACTAAACGAGCTGCGAGTATGTGAACAATGTGCTGTTTGATGGTATCTTAGTGCTTCCCCCCCGCTCTTTGCTCTATGCACAGTTGTCTTGTTGGGACGACTTGCCATATTGGGCATGGTCTGTGTTTCTGCACAGCTCCCATTCATCATGGTGGTCTGCAAACAAGTTCTCTAATTTGTTGGGTTCAGGGACTGGACTGCAGTCCAAAGATGTTGGACATAGCGAGGCGTGCAGATCCCAAGTCAACCTTTACTCTGGGTAAGTGGCGGGTGAGCTGTGGGTTTCTAGGTTTGCACATTTGAAGACATGGCCTACCTTGAACGGCACCAGCTCATCCTTTACAGATCGCATGGCCCTGCAGACTGTTGCTCCTGCGACCACCAGTGCAGGCAGCATCTTTGAGTTTATTTCCAACAACGTCTGTCAGAAGTGACAAACATTGACTTCTCAGCGATGGTAGTCATCATCCCAGCTACACAACTTGTGCATCTCTGCCCAGTCAAGGGCATGCTGCTGTCGATCCAGCAATACATTGAATTGCTCATTCTGTGCCAAGTGCATTGTGGGCATGAAATATTGGTAATAGTGGCACATCCCAGTGCATCATGTATTTCAGCGCTGTGAGACTTCACTGTACCAGCACATCATACTTTAGTTCATCAGTGAGGCCTTGCAGATTGGTAGAAGCTTCCTTCCAGCCACATGGCCCCTTTTCTTATTATCTGTCTGGCGGCTCTGCACCAGAGTCAATTGTATTTCTGCCCCCGTCGCAGGTGATGCAACGGCACTCCCATATAGCGATGCATCATTCGACTTCGCCCTATCTGTGTACACTCTGCGAAACCTGCCTGACCTGAGGATGGCCCTGCAAGAAATGCTGAGGGTGCTGAAGCCGAGAAGTGGGTGAAGGTGCCCTGCCTTCCCAGCCCTAGATGTGGCCGACTTGTATCAACTGAAGTGTGGCAGTAAAGGCGTCCAAACAGCAGTTGTGTGCCCTGGACTCAGCCTGCAAACCCAATCCCGCATTGGCAAAACCCTGGTTGTATGACCAAGAAGTCTGCACACCAGGTCAACCCAGGCAGTCAGACTGGATGATATGCAAGCATTCCAGTTTGCGTAGCTTGCGGAGGACAGGGCCCTCTTTGCTCTCCTGCCATGGACGTCCACTTCGGCTGCTTTAAAGATCTTGCACGAAAGTCTTCCTAGCTTTGCCGGCATGCGTACATTGCAAGGAAGGCTGCTGGCATGGCTGCTCATGTGTGTGAAGAGTATTGTAATGTGCATTCCCTTCCATGCACTGTGGCAGCTATTCCTTTGAATGCCACACTGCCCCTGCCCATTGAAGCTGGCTCAGTTGGCTCCAAACTCAAATGCAACACATACTCCTATCAACACTCTTGCCTCCCTTTCCTTCCAGACCTTGAGGTCAGTCTCCTGTATTTTATGTGGCTGCCCAGAGCCATAACATCAGGATCGTTTGTGGAAATTCTTCTGTGAATCTGTATCCATGGGAGTTGTTGCGATTGTCTGGGGTTACCCATTATGGGTATGCACTGGCCTTTGGGCTCCCTCCATACCCGATTCTGGGCAACCCATGGATGGCATCTTTCTGGACTGATCGAATGGATGCTGTTTGGCAGGCAAGTTGTTGCTACTGGATGCGTTCCCACCGCCAATTCCAGTGGCGCGTGCCTTGCTGTGGTTGTGGCTCAAATTGGTGCTGCCAATATTAGGGGGACTCTTCACAGGGGAAAGATGGGCATACGAATATCTTGCGGCATCGATTCAGGTAGATAGTCCGGACAGCGGCGTCTCTCTGTTGGCATTTGGCTATGCTTGTGGTGCGTGTGCTTTGCACACACCCTTGGCAGCACAGAACACCCTTCGACTGCGTGAGCATAAGCCAGCCAGTAAAGTTGAAACTTGGGACTTGTGAGCACAAGCTCCTGTTTGTTTATCTCATCCAGTGGTGCAGCTGTGCATTGCTGTATTAAGAGCAGCTGTTCAATGCATCTGTTGCAGCGATTCAAAATTTGTTCCATTGTGTGTGCCCCTCCAGAAGTACACTCACTGATCTGCTGGGGCCTGTGCGGCGATAACCTTCAATATTCTGCTTGCACAAACATCAAGGCCCACAGCATCTGTAGTATTGTGAGCACAACCAGCCTTGACTTTGTCTCTATCCTGGACACATGACGTCTGGTTGTGGTTTTGCTGGCTGCTGACACGCAGCAAATTCTGTGGCAGCAAAATTTAACGCACAAGCGCCCACGACAGGCACAGTAGCAGAACCATGCATCGATGTCCCTTTGTCTTGTGCAACGTGGTGCGTGCAGCACCTCCATCTCCATTTCTCTCATCACTGCTGGTTCCTGATTGATGTGGCATCAGGGAACAAAATCGGCACATGAGGTTGCAACCATGCTGGAGGGCCTTGGGTGTGATGAAATAGAGGTGAATCACTACACATTTGGTGCAGCGGCATGCATTGTGGCGACAAAGCCGATGGAAGTTGCGCTGAAGCCAGTGAGGAAGACGGGCAGGAGGGCCAAAGAATCTGGAAGCCGATGAGTTTCATTCTTCAAGATGTGTCCACGCTGGTGCTGCACATGTGGCTCAGCGACCAAACAGACAAACGGCAGTGCCCTGTCAAACATGGTCGACATTGCCAGTCGCAGTGCCTCAGTTCGTGACTCAGCAGAGATGGATGTCCAAACGATGTACGGAATTTTGACATCAAATGTTGTCCATGGGCGACCTGCCATGTATCGCCTTGGGGGTGAATGTGGTGCCTTCCGAGGTCCATTAATTCATGCATGAATCAGTTTATGACTGCACCAGAAAGAAAGGAGATAGGGGAAGATCCCGACTCCCTGTGACGTCCCAAGAGAAGCACACAAAATAGCCTTGGGAAAAGGCCTTAGGAAGTCATGCAATGGGACTGGAACTTCCCTTCAATGGAGGACGACCTCTGTCGAAGGTTGTGCGCTGTGGTAGCTCGTGGCACGTGGCAAAGGGGTCGCTGCTACCTGGTGGCTTCGTCCCGCCGACGGCGGCATCAACGTTACTTGGCGCAGTATTAATACAGCTGCGAAGTGACAGGATGACAGGCCCAGAACTGCGAGGAACGGACGCGTAATGCATTTCAAAATCGCACAAAGGGCAGATTATCGGTAATACAGTAGGGGTCCCTATATACCCCCCCCCCCCCTTGACATGGCCAAAAGGGGGGCGCTATTGGGGGCCTGGGGCACTGCGTTTACCCCAAGCAGCCGGTGTAAAGGGCACCATGGCCGCCGGTGTAAGGGGTTACCATGGTCGCCAGTGTAGAAGGTACCCTGGCTGCTACTGGCAGCAAGTGTAGGGGGTACCTTGACCGCCAGTGTAGGGGGTACCCTGGCCGCCATTGTGAGGGGTACCTGGCCGCCTGTGTAGGGGGTACGCAACACCCGGCCTATCGGGCCCATACTGGTTTTCGGTGCCAGCGACTATGTCGCAGCGCCGAGTCGCGGGCGCTGGGCCTGTCGCAGTGAAAGAAAGTACTGCAGGAACCGTGACAAGCCGTTCAGAGGGTCACTGAACCTAGACAGGTTGCTAAACAGGGGTCGCTAAACCGTGCCCCCTTTTAACAGTTTGAGGTCCCACCGCCCAACAAAGCTGCGTAAAGCACTACAAAAATGGTGATAAGCCAAAAAGGGGCCATTATTGGGGGGCGCTATAAAGGGAACCCTATTGTATTTCAAAAGCTTGCTTCCAAATTGTGCTTGCAACGACGATTGCCTTGGGCGTTTGGCCCCAGCTAGAATCATTAAATCCCATGTTGGTTGATGTGTTCCAACTACTGAAGGGTGCGTTCTTGATCACCCTTTAAACATTACAGTGCTAAGCAATCTCAGGATTGCACGATTGTATTTGCATGGTATGCCACGTTGTGTGGAACTGTTTCTGCAAAACGCCTCAAAGTTACGAACTCGATCGGTCGTGTTTTATGCACAAGGTCCCCAGTGGGGACTCACCACTTGCCGTTTCATTTCCTTTAAAGGAAGGATACTAATTTGCATTTCGTACGCTCAACGCTCAATCGACGTAAAGGGAAAGGGGCCAGACCATGGACGCTAAGAGAATGTGTAATTGAGCGAATGTCGAAGTCGGCCAGGACGAAGCTTGGACGGCCTTCACGGTGTTCGAGCAGAAAACCGTGCGCGTGGCTTTCGATGTTTGATGTTGTTGCTATAACAGACACAGCTACGGTCATGGGCGGCGATCAATGTGGCATGGCCAAGGGATGGGCCGGCAACAAGATGTGCCGGCCGTTGGCTGTCCATTGGACAAGATGTCACTAGCCACAGACAGCGGCGATCGGGGACAAATAGTCATCAGAAACGGTCTCTGCTAATCGGCACCTTGTCGCGGCTAGACCAATAGGGCATAATTTGAGGACTGGCAAATGGAACGGCAGGGAAATGGGCTGGGAGAAACGGCAACGGTTGGGCCGTTGGCTGACATGGATTGTTGCGGAAATCTCATGCTCACGATAGAGATTCGTGACCATCCACAGCTGACAGCAGCAGTGGTCAGTGCTTCTTTATCAACCCAGGTTGTGCCAGCAGTCGCAGAGCTTGAGTGGACAATGTTCCCGGTGCTGCGGAGCAGTCAAGCGCAGTGGGAACACATAATCTTGCTAATCGGGTGGCGGGCAGCAATATGTACTGATTTTAAGCATTGCAAGGGCATTCAAATAAGGATTGGCGTTCAAGGGAGGTGGGGGTGGGGGTGGGGGTGGGGTGATTTCTTAGAGAAAGAACAAGATAAACAAGTCGTAAAATGGGCATACCCTCCTGAGCAAGTGTGCATCAGGCTGTTTTGCATATTATGGAAAGATGATGCGGAGTGACTCTGTTAAAATCTCATGCGTGACAAGCTAAGCACACCACACAGGCACCATGAAAAGCGAGAAAGGGAGGGGGGGAGGAGATTCTGAGTTTAGCGTTCGTTTGGTTTGCCAAGGTTACAAAACACAACATTGTGTGTTCCCTAGGCGCTGTTGTCGTTAACTGGATCTTGTCTCTCATGTGGCGTCATTTTGGGGGGAGGGGGGAGACAGAGAAGGTGTCGTGCCTCTTCCAGTGCGCGTATCCCAACTGCACACCCCGTTCAGCGTGCGTGCCGAACTTGAGCTCGCCTGGAAACATCAACCACGATCCCAGGGCGCAGAATCCCGTGGGTCCGAAGTGTGAGCTACGCACGTCGTTCGAGTTGCTTCACTCGGTCGCGCCACGTGGGACCCCTAAATTGGGGACATCCGTCAGCGAGAGTCCTATGATCGGCACCGGCATCACAAATCTAAGTATATCGATACACCGGGCTGCGCCGAACGACACCAGGGCACACGGTGTGCGCTTGCCCGGCGCCAGGCGGCAGGGCCTGCTTCGTTCTCCGGGCGGGGGACCGCCGCGCGCCCCCTCCAAAGTGCGGGAGGCGCCGGCGCTGCTTGTGCGCATCCCACCGCAGCGGAGCGCCGACGTCCCCAAGGACCGGACGCTCTGGGCTGCGGCCCCTGAATGGGAGGTGAGCCTTTCGGTGGGCCAGACCCACCCAGCGAGAGAGCCGGCCCCGCGCCCGCCGAGATTGCGCGCGGAGCGAGCCCGGGTGCCAAGATGCTTGCCGCCTGCGGAGAACCGCGGCTGGCGCTTGGGCCCTCATCCGCGGGCGGTGTCATCGCTGGATGCCGCGCTTCGCCCTGGCCGTGGGGAGCTACCCGCTCTCCTCCCCGTCAGCTCAGAGCGCTCGAAAGTTTGGAAGCCCTGTGGGGGTGGTGGCAGGGGGCCTTGAATTGAGGCGCAAATGCTTCGCGGTTTGCATCGCTGTGGCAGCCCCACAGCCTGGGTCCAGCCCTCGCGCTTGTGTTGCTGCGAAGCCGCTTGGCAATCGTACGCTGGCTCATTTCATGCTGGTGGCCAAGGTGTTGATGGTCCTGACGGGTAGCTGGCCAGTCAGCAAGAATCTGACATCTGAACTTGGGTTCTGGCTATTCACACAGTTTGTCAACTGATCTCCATTAGTCAAAGACTTTGCATCGGCACTGAAACCGTAGTCATTTTAGCAGTCTGGGTTTTGGGGCGAAAGCTGGTAAGTAACCTACAACTTGCAGATAAATGGCTGTAGCACTTGGCTGACAACAATGAGACATTTTGCCACTACCGCCAGTGCTCTCTTCCAGCGATGATGTGTCTACCCTAGCATTTTGTGGGCCTCATTGTGGTGCTCAAACAGGACGGTGAAGATTGACTGTGTGTGCCACACATATGCGATGGCGTTGTTCAAAGAAGTGATACTTGGGAAATCAAATCAGAGGCTTACTGCAGCCCTTGCTGGTAGTTTATGCATTCCAACAGCTCAGCAACAGTTTTTCGATTTTTCTAAAGCAGTCCACCCCAGGTTGATCAAAAATTATTGTGTGCATTCGACATGGGGCAAGGGTTCAATTCGTACATTACCCTTGTGGACCTGTTGCTGAATGTCACTTTCCAGCATGCTGGCTGGATTGAATCTTGCAGAAGTCGATCCTGTGTGGTTCTTGTTAAATTCTTTTTTCGACACATCCCCTCCAATCTGCTCTACTGAAGGGCGGATGTCCCTTCGTGCGTATTGTCCATGATGTCTGCCGCTAGCCTTTGGCAGTCTAGGGGGCTGTTTTGCTTTTGCATTCCACAAATGGCCAGTTTCACACCTGCAGTTTGGCCCTTCAGGATTGATTCTTATTCATCGCATTCATATTGACCAAGCGGCAAGGGAAGTCGCAAAAGCAACTTTGTATTGGAGGCGAATCAGGGGTGAGGCCCTTGAGCCTGATCGGAATGAATGTCCATCGACGAAGAGAGAGGTCCACCAAGACAAAGGATGTGAGTGTGGAAACCTGTTTGCCAAGGTGGATGTCAAAGTACAAAAGATGTGTGGCGGCCTATGTGTGCCCACTCTGTAGAACAGTATGTACTTTGTCATATGTGCGTACATTCAGGAGAGAGCCTGTAGATTTCGACTGCTGCTCTGTGTGCAGTTGTTCATCTGGTGCTCAAAACACTCAGGGCTCCTCTCAAAGCTGCCTCCCTGTGGCACTGGTGCTTGGCAACACAACCTTCTTGGTGTCACATGTGGTTGAATGTTTATCTGGCACGCCAACACTGGTGAATCACCTTTGTGCCTGTCATTCTTGTCCAGAGGAATGCAGCCAACGGTGTCTCCAACACCATCGCTCTTGGTGACAGGTGGAGCACCCTGGTGGATGGCTGGTTTGTCCAAGCAAATGCTGGCGAAGATGGCAGGTGCGCATGTGCATGGAAACGAGGCGGCTTGGCTTGACTTAGCCCTTGCCTCTTTTGAATTACGATCAGGTCATCATGCACAATGAACACTTGAAATGTATTTGTTGGCATCGCTTGAGGTATTTTTGCCCTGGGTTGTGGGCCTGTGACCAGGTGTTCTCTGCTGGCTTCCAGTAAAATATTGCAGGCATTGCTTGGTTGCTGTGCTCACACTTCTTTTCGACCATCAGTTATGTTGTGATACTTGCCAGTCCCAGTTTTAGAGTCCCTTTGTCTGCCCAATACACATGCACATTTGAGCACCACGGTGTGCCGTTGCCACCTTGCAGGGTGCATGGAAGCGATGCTGTGCAGTTCTTCAGAAGGTCAGGCCTTGACGATGAAGACCTTGCTAGGGTAAGGCTGACCAGAGATCTCCATCTAGTTGACATAGAACTCCTTTTGCAAAATGGCGGGCTTGTGTCAGCTCTCGTGAACTTGACTATTGCTTGAACCACACCTAGGTTTTCTGAATGCCACTAATGCAGCATATGCCTTTTGTTGCACTGTGTTCTCCTCTCGTATGAGCTTGAATTCATGACCAATGCCTTGGTGCATTGGGCTTGGTGCCTTTTGCTCTCTGCTGAATTGTTCAGCACAGGAGGTACAGAGGTATTTCCACAGGAATTGCGCTGTCAACCCTGTTCTGTTGCTTGTGATCAGGCCTGTATGATTTGTTCCCTGTTCTACACTTGTTATTATTTCTCATGATAGTCAGGAACTTGCAAACAAGTACAGCACTGCATGAATGCCTTCATTGCCCAAGCCATAGGCTCAAGTACCAAGAATCTTTCATCTTTGACTATCATCGAATGTGGATGCACATCTTTGGCACTCTTGCTGTTGCTGCTACTTTTGTGGTGAGAAATTTGGTTTCTGTGCGATTTTCTTTGTGACCAACAGGTGTGGGACAAGGTAGTACCCCCCAAGGAGGACAGAATGAATAGAATACAATTTGAAAACGCCCTCAAGCTGGTGGCACTCTTGCAGGTAACTAGTGCTGTGTGGCAGTGTCAGAGTCTCCATGCTGAGAGGCCATGGCCTTGTTGTCTGCAGCTTTTTGCTGGGACTTTTGCTGTAATCACCATATAGGTTTGCAGTGGCTGCACTCCCTGCAGACTTGATGGCCCTTGGCTGCTTTCTGTATGCTGTCTGCAGCACACCCTCCTCCCTTGATCGCTAGCTACCATGAACAGAATTGTATGCATGTGTTTATGTATTCTTGGTGCGTGTCTTTGGTGATATCTTTACTGAGCCAGTGCATTCATATTTCCGCATTGTTCAGGGAGTGGCAGATTTCGAGAGCCTTCAAGGCCTACCCTTCTATGCTGCATGCAATTTCTCATGCTGCAATTGGTATATGTTTCATGTCTTGTGTGAGTCACACAAGTGCTGTGGTGTGTTTTGCAGACCGGTGGTGAGCTTTCAGATATAAATGCTGTAGAGGCAATCTCCCAGAATGTTCCTGACCCAGAGCCCGTGTTCCGCCCCGTGAATCGCTCCCCCTCTCCTCAGTCCATGATACCGCAACCCCCTTGCCAGAACCCCCGCGCTGGCGACACAAGGTGGCTTCCTAGGAGAAATGCTGCCTCCTCCAGTAAGCTGCCCTCAGGTGATTCTTGGATGGAAAGGGCGGCCAGTGTACCGACCAAATCGGCTGGGGTCGATGAACGGGCCCCAAGATCGCGGTCATTCAGTGGCGGCTTTGCTGATGGGGGAAGGAGTCCAAAAACTGGCAGGGGCAGCAAGCCCCCCCGGCCAGAAAGGGTGCGGTCAACAAGCATGCCATGTTCATTGGATGAGGATGAGGAGCAGATCGGCAGGCCAGCGACTGGCGCCCTGAGATTTGTGCGACTCGATGAGAAGATTGTTCGGGTGAAGTCACCGAGCAAAGCAAGTGGACGCCAAGGATTTGCAAAGTCTGTGCAGATTGATGAGCACCTGTCTGGAGGACGCTATGTTGCCAGCACTAACGGGTTGTGGGCAGCTCCTGATTATTATGCTACTGGACCAGAAGAGGAGTTGGGCCAAGCAACTGGTGTACCCAGCACATCTGGCGAAGCAAGTAACAGGATGTACAGCGGGGCTATGATGGATGGGCGGCCCCGTGGTGCCGCTCCACAAGGTGGCAAGGCTGCAGCAGTTGACAACCAGAGCACAAGGGGCAATCCCAGGTTTTTGGAAACGGACACGCAGGTGGGCCGAGACGGACCAGTTCCTAGCAAGTCTGTGACTCTGGAGGATTTTTCAGCACCAGCCAGTCCAATGCGTGAAAGGCGTGCCTCTGCTGACTATTATTTGGGCGCAGGCTCCAAATCTGCCAAGTCTGCTGCAACTGACGACTCTTTGCAAAGTGATCGTCCTCTGTCAGCAAGAGCTGCATTGGCTGGCAACTATGGCGGCGGTGGCATTGCCAAGCCTCCAGTCGCAGATGAGTATGCCAGCATCGGGGCCCCCGTGTCTGGAAGGTCTCGACAGGCTGATGACCATCCGAACAGGGACAGTCCCTTGCCTGGCAGGGTCACAGTGGCTGAGGAGTATGCAGGTGCAAGTGGACCTGTTCCAGGGAGAGTGGCTGACGGTGGTGGACCCAGAGGCAGCCCTGTGCCATATAGACCAGTGGCAAGCAGGGAAGACAGTGGAGCTGGAGGAAGCCCTGCTGAGGCACGAGCGGCTGAGGTTGATGAGCATGTTGCTCCTGGGCCTGTGACATCTGACAGGGCTGGAGAGCTGGATGGCTCGACCGCTAAGAACAGTCCAAAGTCACATAGATTTGAAGAGCTGAAGAGCAAGGCAAGTAGTGGGACTTCAGGCAGGTTTGCAGAGCTGGACGATCAGGAGCCCAGGATCAGCCCTGTGCACAGCAGGTCTGCTGATGACCTTGTGGCAGGAGGAGGATCTATACATGGTAGACCTGGTAGGTGTGATCAGCAGAGTTTGGCCCTCAGGGCTGTGAGGCCACATTGCCTAAGTGTGCTGCTTGCAGCACTTGCCAGAAGGATCACATCGAGGCTATGTGAAATTGGAGTGTTGGAATTTGCGATGATAGATTGCCGCTGGGGAGATATCGATGCAACACCCACAGTCACCCCTATCTCATTACCCTCCATTTGTTCCATGCTGTGCTCTATCACACACTTGCCTTATCTTCCATTGTTGAACTGTGTCAGGTATCTGCCAAATTGCTGTGTTGTGGCTTCAAGGAGGTAAACAGATGCCCTTGGGTCAGACTTGTTCTGTGCTCTGTGACAATTGTGGCCTGTTTGCACTACCCCAGCTTCCTGAGTAAATTAATATTTGCCATTACACTCATCTATTGTGCCAGCCCTCTCTGCAATCTGTTGTGTATTGACAACAGGCTGTTGTGTTTGTTGCAGGTCCTCCAGCATCATATGGTGACAGTGATGACGACTACATATGTGATCGACGTGCAGAGCAGTCCGAGCAATCAATGCGGTCGTATACACCTTCCTCAGTGGGTGGGCGATCTTCTCGTTTACAGACCCCAAGTTTCAGCGATGACATGGTGTCAGAGTTGGCTGGCAGTGACCTGGCCAAAGATGTCACTGGCCCCTGCACCGCAGGCCTGGTGAATGTTGAGGTACAGTGCCTTGTTTATTGATTCAATGCGAATTCGCAAAGTTAAATAAGAAATGCTGTCTGCATGTCTCTTTTGCTTCGATTAATAATACAAGGGGGCACGTCGTCCAGCAGTCACGTTTGTGGGCAACTGTTGTGGGCTTCTAGCTGTGACTCTGATGATTGGACTTTGTCGGTTGCCGTTGTTGAGACGTGTTGTGGGTCCTTGTCCAGTTGCGATTGCCTCCACTTCGTCCCAATTCC